CTTTGATCAAAGCAGATAAAAAATATTTCACATAACTTGTCATAAATGTCAACAGCTAAAGTCATACAGAATAGGTGAAAGATCATGGTATTAACCCCTTAAGGACCAAACTTCTGGAATAAAAGGGAATAATGACATGTCACACAGGGGTTAAACAATTCAGCAAATGGCTTGCTATTCATAATAAGACAAGTAACATAAAACCACTGGAACGTAACAACCTAAAGGGTCTATGTACCGTGTGGGTTTGTGTGGGGAGGTCACATTGAAGGTGATGCAGAGGGGGATTGGAAGACGGTGGGGGGATCGACACCTTATCACTGTAGGTACTTCAACCAGGGTTGCCAAACTTTGGTGTATCGATTGTACTTAACCAAGTGTGATGTGCCACTTTCTGGATCCACTCCCTAACGGATGGTGCAGCTGAGTTTTTCCACTTAATTAGTATCAGCAGATTTGCTGGTGTTAGCATATGATTTATAAGCATACGTTGTGGTTTAGGAATGGGGTTAGCATGTAATAGTAATGAATCGGGTGTGTGGGCAGGGACGTATTAGCCGCGAGGCAAACAAGGCATTTGCCTTGGGCGGCATTTTCCATGGGGCGGCAAAAAACGCCGCCCCCAAATGCCCAAGGCAAATGCCTTGTTAGCCTTGCAGCTAACAGACATGCTGGGCGCTGGGCGGCGCTGGCTGATGGTCCGGCAGGCGGCTGGGGAGGGAGCACTTCCTCTGAGCGGTCTGCTCAGCTCCCTCGCGCGCCGCAGAGTGAGGCTGGGAGCCGGAATATGATGTCATCAACCCGGCTCCCAGCCTCACTCTGCGGCGCGCGAGGGAGCTGAGCAGAGTGCTCAGAGGAAGTGCTCCCTCGCCAGCCACCCGCCCAGCAGCCACTGGACCACCAGGGAGATAATGAACCCCTCCCCCCCCAGCACTCCCAAAGGTAAGGAGGCTGGGGGGGGGGGGGGTTAAATAAAAAAATTAAAAAAGTGTTAATGTGAGTGACTGTGTGTGTGTGTCTGTGTGTGTGTGTGTCTGACTGTGTGTGTGTGTCTGACTGTGTGTGTGTGTTTGTGTCTGACTATGTGTGTGTGTGTGTCTGACTGTGTGTGTTTGTGTCTGACTGTGTGTGTGTGTTTGTGTCTGACTGTGTGTGTCTGACTGTGTGTTTGTGTCTGACTGTGTGTGTGTGTGTGTGTTTGTTTCTGACTGTGTGTGTTTGTGTCTGACTGTGTGTGTTTGTGTCTGTGTGTGTGTGTGTGTGTGTCTGACTGTGTGTGTTTGTGTGAGTGTGTGTGTGTCTGACTGTGTGTGTTTAGCCCTGGAGATCCTTGGCTATCTCATCCAGGAGTGGCAGGAAGTTAAGGGTAGAGAAAGGGTACTTGGCTTTGAGAATTGTTTGCATGTAAGGGTTCAGCTGAAGAGGGAGGATTTAACTTTTAGAATAGTTAACTTGGAAGTTGGATAGTCTGTTATATGTAGCTATTTCTGCAAGGGGGAGGGTGTGATTGGGTCAGTAATGGAGAATAACAGATCATCCGCGAATGCAGAGATCTTAAACTCCTGCTGCTGGATTTGAAAACCATTGATGGCGGTATGATCCCTGATGCCCTGGAGAAAAGATTCAAGAGATAGGATAAAAAGTAAAGGGGAGAGGGGGCACTCCTGTCTTGTGCCGTTTCTAATATGAACTGAGCCTGATAATTGGCCATTTATTCTAAACTTTGCTTGCTGTTGGAGTGAAATATATGACTCCCATCCACTTCAACCACTTAGGACCCAAACCCAATGCTTGGAGGGTGGCAGTCAACATCGACCAGTCCACTCTATCAATCAGCGTCAATTGAGAGTAGTAAGCTCTATCCCTGGGTGGACAGTACGATGTGTATGAGATTTAACATTTTGGTCGTATTGTGCTTGGCTTCGCGGCCAGGAACAAAACTGGATTGGGTGGATTAATGTGTGTAGCAAGGGTTGTAGGCGTGTGGCCAAAATTTTTGTGAAAATCTTTAAATACACATTGATAAGTGAAATGAGGTGGTAGCTGCTGCACTCAGTTGGGTCTTTGCCCGGTTTGGGGATTAGCATGATGTGTGCTTCAAGAGCTGATAGGGGAAGAGTAGCATAGCAGACTGTGTGAGGGCGTTAAAAGTACGTAAATATTGCTCTGAGAGGAGTGGATTGAACACCTTGTAATATTTTGCTGTAAGGACATCTGGGCCCGGGCTCTTACCCAATGGTGTCATTTTCACCGCTAGGTGTAGCTCATACAGGGTGATGGGGGCTTTAAGGGCTTGAGCAATGTTCGGGGGAATAGGTTGTTTGAGTCTAGAGGATAGAAACTGCTCTATGTCTTCTTTAACTGGGGGGTGAATTTCTGAGATTGTAGAGTTTAGTGAAGAATCTTTGAAATGTGTCCATGATGTCTGGGAGCGAATTGGAAATAGTACCCGTGTGTGTCTTAACCTTGGATATTAATGCAGTCTGCTTGGATTGCTTTAAGGCATTGGCCAGAGGTTTGCCGCATTTGTTTCCTTGTGCATAAAAGGAGTGTTTAGTACGTAGTAGTTTCTTTTTGACCTGGTGGTGTAAGAGCTGTGTCAGTTCCGCCGTACATTGTACGTTCAAATAGAGCTGTCCCTTGCATTAGTGTGTTCTAGGTCCCTAATCTCTTGTGTGAATGTATGCATTTTTTTTACTCTTGTTATTCATCGACCTCATGGTCTTATTCCAGACTGGACATGCTGTACACCACTTACACCTTTTTAAGAGTGGATGCAATGGCTAAGAATTCCCCCCTTATGACACACTTATGAGCTTCCCATATAGATGTCGGGGATATGGAAGGTAACGTATGGTAGGTAAGTAGTGTATAAGTTTTTCCCGAACATGAGTTGTGATGGTAGGGTCATTCAGAAGGAAGTAATTTAACTTCCAGTGAAAAGATGTCACCGGGAGAAATGGAATTTGAACGGCAAGAGACAGGGGCGCATGATCCATATTAGCAGGAGTTGGCCAGGTGTAAGTGGTGTACAGCATGTCCAGTCTGGAATAAGACCATGAGGTCGGTGAATAATAAGAGTAGTCTCTGGAGTGTGGGTGCAGAGTCCTCTAGCAGTCAAATAGTCGTGACTGGTCCACTAGCTGAGTAATACGTGCGGATGTCTGGTATTGCGCAGAGTTAGAGGTCATGTCAAGGGATATGTTTAGATCGCCTCCCAGAATTAGCAAAACCTCCATAATGGATTCTATAATGTGTAGGTATTTCTTTAGGGCTCTTCCCTGATGTCTGTTGGGGAGATAGATGTTTGCGAATGTGAGCGTGGTTTGGCCAATCTGGCTGTTTACCAAGAGCAATCTGCCTCCATCATCTGTTTTGTGTGTTTGCAGAGTGAATTTGCAGAGATAAGTATGGCTACCCCATGTGCCTTGGCACCACTGAAAATGCTGAAGAAACCTATGGGGTATTTTCAGTGTGGGAGCATTATCCTTTCTAAAATGAGTCTCCTGTAAAAAGACCACCTCTGCGCCTGATTTATGCATTTCTGATATAGTGAGGGAGTGCTTTTCTGGGGTATTTAATCCCCAAACGTTAAGGGTAACTACTCGTAGTGTAGCCATATTAAACCAGTGGGGTTCATGTTTGTACCTTGTTGAAGTTGTCAGTACCTGAGTGTGCCAGTTGGTAGAAAGTCGGGGGTAGTCACAGGATAATCAAAGTAAAATAAACAATTAATAAACTATTTTCCAAGTAAAGAAACAGTAAACAAACTTAGTGTGTAGTATAGAAGAGTAAAGTATAGGTGTCGGCCATCAACCAGCTACCCACCAATAGTCTGTGGGGAAAACCGATGGCATCGGACCCAGACTGGAACGTCACCACCTGGATACTTCTGCGACACCGCGATATAGGTCTAGTCGACCTATTACAAAATTGAAATCAGTATAATCACATAATAATAAGTACAATTATATTTTGGGGGGAAATATGTGCTGAAATCTGACTGAGCAGCTTAATGTCAGCTAGCGACACACGTATTACTATAAGATACGTATCAGTCGCAGACATCCGCTGTCAGAGCACAAATCCATATAACCAAAAGTGACTTTTTTTTCAGGGCAATGAGGTATGAACTATGGGGTTATGTAACAGCTGTCTGTTGCCTCTTGAACTGATGGGGAGAAATTACAACATGCTGATCTGGACCAGTATTGCGGGCACGTGGTTCGGGCACTGAAAAGTGGGATGACATGGGTGGGGGGGTAGTGGGTTTGTGCCCAGACCTTGAGTAGTAACCTAGTTTTGGTACCTGGGAAGATCTAACAGGTGGAGTACCCACACTCTCCATGGCATACGTATATATACAGTTTAATAGTCGGAGCATCACTTAGGCAGGCTACCGGGTCAACACAGTTACAGGTCAGTGATGAGTGTTACTGAAGCATAAATTGAGAGGGTCAGGGCAGGAATGTGGGGGAGGGAAAAGGGGGTTCAGTTACCAGACCATGGAGCGCAGAGAAGGACAGTTTAATTCTGCATGTCTATGAGGTAGTATCGTATCTTGAAAACCTGGTAGTCTATCTCCATAGTGGCCCGTAATTTAGCATAACAGGAGGCCATGAGCTGTTAAATGGCAACGTAGGGCCAGATCAGTGTAGCAACAGGTCTTGGAAGTTCATTCATCTTGTTGCCATTGGGTTCTCTGCGGCAATTGAGGCAAGTTTGGGGTTCGTAGCGGTCCGTATCAGTCCGGAATGTGCAGGTCATTCAAATTGAGGATTTGTACAAATGACGGTATATTAGCATGTGAGTGAATAGTGTGAAGGGTACCTTTGTAGGTGACAGTGCCAGCAGGAACCCCCAGCGATATTTTAGATTTCTGATGCGTAGTTGATCCGTTATAGGTCTCAGACTCCTCCGCGCTTGTAGAGTTAACCAGGATAAATCCGGATAGATGGTGATTGGGGCTTCATGGAAGAGCAGAGGTTGGGATGCTTGTTTCAGATAACATCCTTGGGCTTGTCGGACACTGTGCCCGTGGGTTTCAACGCCCTATGAGCTCTGTCCAGGGGTATGGAGTTGTCCAAGGGCTTGTCCAGTATCAAACTATAGCGTTCACACAGCGTTGTGTAAATATCTTCTTGTTCGTTTTCTGGGAGGCTGCAAATTCTCAAATTATTTCGGAACACCCTATTGTCAACGTCGTCAAGGGATCTGTGGAGTGCTTGAAGGTATGAATTTTGATGGTCCACAGATTCTTGCAGGGTACTCAATTGAGTTTGCATAGCGTCTCGATCATCCTCAAATGTGCTGACTTTGTCTGTTACTTACATAGTTACATAGTTACATAGCTGAAAAGAGACTTGCGTCCATCAAGTTCAGCCTTCCTCACATTTGTTTTTTGCTGTTGATCCAAAAGAAGGCAAAAAAAAACAGTTTGAAGCACAATTTTGCAACAAGCTAGGAAAAACATTCCTTCTTGACCCCAGAATGGCAGTCAGATTTATCCTTGGATCAAGCAGTTATTACCCTACATTGAAAGATTATATCCTTGAATATTCTGTTCTTGCAAGTATGCATCTAGTAGCCGTTTGAACATCTGTATGGACTCTGATAAAACCACTTCTTCAGGCAGAGAATTCCACATCCTGATTGTTCTTACAGTAAAAAAACCTTTCCTTTGCCTTAGACGAAATCTTCTTTCTTCCAGTCTAAACGCATGGCCTCGTGTCCTATGTAAAGTCCGGTTTGTGAATAGATTTCCACACAATGGTTTGTATTGGCCCCGAATATATTTGTATAATGTTATCATATCCCCTCTCAGGCGACGTTTTTCTAAACTAAATAGGTTTAAATTTGTTAACCTTTCTTCATAGCCGATATGTTCCATTCCTTTTATTAGTTTTGTAGCCCGCCTCTGCACTTTTTCTAGTGCCATAATATCCTTCTTTAGAACAGGTGCCCAAAATTGCACAGCATATTCAATATGGGGTCTTACCAGTGATTTATAAAGAGGCAAAATTATATTCTTATCCCGAGAATGAATGCCCTTTTTCATGCATGACAATACCTTACTGGCCTTGGCCACTGCTGATTGACATTGCACATTGTTGCATGGTTTGTTGTCTATATCAATTCCCAAGTCCTTTTCATGTGTTGTTATCCCTAATTCGCTTCCATTAAGAATGTCAGGGCTTATTGCGTCCATTTTGGTCAGGACGGAGGTTTCTAACTTGCTCATCAGGGCGACAATATCCTGCTTGGACGGCAGATTCCAGATAATGGTCCTCAATTCTTCCTCTGATGGAGGTCCCGAAACTTCGGAGCCCACCGGGCTAGATGGAGGGGGGCTGGAGTGAGGTGAATCCGGCGCAATGTTGGGGCATACCATGCCGAGTTGCTGTCCATGTTGTCATGGAAATATTTGGTGAGAGCACCAGATTTCCCCGCTGGGGTTTTGCCTGAAGCTTGTTGGGAAGCCGTGGATCGCTTTGGGTGTGCCAACATTATTTTTGGGCCCTATGTAGTCGCATTTTTGTCTGTTGCGGTCAGAGCTGAATTAGAACGCATCCATGCATTTTACACAGCTGTGGGAGCCAAGAATGAGTATTAGAACTACATCACAACATTTTTGCGAAAGTAACCTTGCCACGGGCTCCTGGAGGAGCCTGCTTGCCAGCCTCTTGCCCCAGGACTATGGGCCATATGAAAAGACTTTGTTTTTGCCATTTTCCCATGCTGTTCGGGAACCGAACAGACGCATGAACTATGGACCACCCGGGAGCTTGTTAAGCCCTATCTTCACCTCTTAATGATTCTAACTGCAGTGTTCTAATTGTTCATCTGGGTTTGTATGAACGACCATAAGGCGATGGACATCTTGTTCCCACGAACACAGGCAGCTGTGTTTGGGCGTCGAGCTGATGGAACTGAAATCGGACACTGTACCACCCGAACACCGCTGGACTTCCATCACCAGTCGGGGTGCCAGGCGGTCCGCCACAAACATAAAAAAGAGTTAAGGATGAAACATCTTGAATGGATTATGAGGTATGTATTACTATGAACGAGATATGGAAGGACAACTCAAAATGAAGAACAAGCCTTCAAGAAGTAAAAATAAAAAAGAGAGAGTAAGACATACAAACTTTGTTACTTGCGATTATTAAATCTCAGTTTTACATAAAGTGCAGTGATTAATTAAACCACAGAGTATTATTATGGTGTCTTATGTAAATCACATTCCTTAAACTTTGCTGTTGGAAATGGAATGCTATTTCAAATTGATTCCTAGAATCGCTGTGTGCAGAAATCAATAATGATATAAAATGAATATTTATGATGTATTCAAGTGAATAGAGGAATCACCATGAGAGCATAAAAGTTTATCTTTGAGAATCAATCATTCAAAATGGCTATTGAGCCCAAAAATGCATTATGGACAGGGAAGCATTAACTTTATAAAAACTCACCATTTTTTTTTGAGAGGATAATACTTACACAATGACTGTAACAGATGCAGATTATCTGTCAAGCTTTTTATTGACAATTCATAATCTAGGAGAATCTATTACCTGCCTTTAGAATAGGATAAAGTCAACGGAGGACCTCTCGCTAATCTTCAGAATAGGATACAATCATTGGATGACCTCATGCTAACCATAGGAACAGAATTAAAACTATAGATGATCTTTCACTAACCTTCAGAATAAGTTAAAATAATCAGAGGACCTCTCACTAACTAGAGGAATGGGATTAAATCACTGAAGACCCTTCAAAATAGGATAAAATTCCTGGTGAACCTCTTACTAACCTTCAGAATAAGAAAAATCATTGAAGGACCTCTCTCTAACCTTCAGAATAGGATAAAATTTCCAGAGAGCCTCACATTAACCATAGGAATAGGATAAAATCACTGGAGGGCCTCTTGCTACCCTTCAGGCTAGGATAAAAACATCGGAGGACCTCTTACTATCCATAGGAACAGGATAAAAGCATCAGATGACCTCTTGCTAACCTTCAGAATAAGTTAAAATAATCAGAGGACCTCTCACAAACTACATGAATGGAATTAAATCGCTGAAGTACCTTCAATATAGAATAAAATAAAATTCCTAATGAACCTCTTACTAACCTTCAGAAGAAGATAAAGCCATCGCAGGACCTCTCGCTAACCATAGGAATAGCATAAAATCACTGGAGTGCCTTTTGCTAACTTCCAGAATAGGATAACATTTCCAGAGAATCTCTTGCCAACTATAGAAATACTATAAAATCACAACAGGTCCATTCTCTAACCTTTAGAATAGGATAAAATTCCTTATTGGGCTGTCAATGCAAACACTATTTTAGCAGAAGTCTTTCTTAAAAAGTAGATCCCTCCTTACGCATGTACTTCTATCTTGCTCGTGTGGTCCTTTAAAGGTGTATAGTCTGTAAGGTTTGTTCACGAAATAGTGAATTTGATTGATCTCAAAAATGATTCTTAAAACTGCAAGGTAAATACTGTGACATTAGAAGTGCTATTTTGTATTTATTTCTAGGTCAAATTTACAAGATTAGGTTGTCTCTGTATATCAGTGAGTTATGAATCATATACTCTTACATTCTTTTTAGAACCTGGAACATAGAGACCCATTTTAATTGTAATAGTAATAAAATTCAATAAAACTTTGTGTTAAAAAAACCCAGACAACATACATGGTTTTCATTTACTGATTAGTGCACTTTATGTGAACCCAGAAACTTGACATTGGCCATAAAATTGCTCCCATGAAAAGTAGTGAAATTAACAGGAATTTTTTTTTTTTCCCCCAGAAATGTCTGAGGTAGCTGATGTAAAATGGTGAAACTTTGTACAACTCTATAAAGCTCCTTGAAGCTCTGTAAGGCTCCATAATAAAATGTAATTATTTAGATTTGCATATTTTCCGGTTGAGGGCTATATGACATCAATTAGTTATTTATTAAGGGACAATGGAGGTTAATTATACAATGCTGTGAACTGGGAATTGCTTTAAAAAAAAGCTTTAGGATGTTTCATTACACAGAATCAGGGCCGGTGCTTCCATTGGGCCATTTAGGCGGTAGCCTAGGTCGCCAGCTCCCTGGGGCGCATCTGGCAAAATGGCCAGTAGCCGTAAAATTAAGGATGGGGATCAGTATGGCAGCCAGGCATTACTGGATCCCGATCCCATTAGGTAGTGCGCTCCTGGCCCCTGTCCTGTGTATGGGGAGATGGAAGGGATAAAGTCAGGAAGTGGGGCAGGGCGGCAGAGAGTGCAATTCTCACTCACTGCCCCCCCTCTCCCTTGGTGACAAGTGGATGGGAGCATAGCAGGAAGTGATGGGATGCCAGGTAGCCAGTCGCTCTCAAGATCCCTGAAATACATGAAGAGTCAACTGATATAAGAAATGAAGGTAAGTAAGTCTCTTTCAGAGAATGTGTGTGTGGCTGCATGGATCAGTGTGTGTGTCTGCAGGGGTAAGTGTATGTGTGTCTGCATGGATCATTGTGTGCGTCTGCATGGATTAGTCTATGTGACTGCAAGGATCAGTGTGTGACTGCAAGGATCAGTGTGTGTGTGCATGGGTTGGTGTGCCTTTGTCTGCATGTATCACTGTGTGTATTTGTCTGTGTGAATCAGTGTGTGTGCGTGTTTGTGTCAGTTTGCATGGATCAATGTGCGTGTGCCTGCATGGATAAATGTGCGTGTGTCTGCATGGATAAGTGTGCGTGTGTCTGCATGGGTCAGTGTGGGTGTCAGTTTGCATGGGTCAGTGAATTTGCGTGTGCGTGGGTCACCGATTGTGAGTGAGTATATATGTGTCAGTGATTGCATTTGTGCGCTAAGGACAGTTTAAATTAAAAAAAAAATTAAAAAAAAATACTTTTAAAGGAACACTGTAGTGTTGTCACAGGTGGCGGTACGAAGACCGGGACCCCTGTATGGATGATGATGATAGTAGTCTCAGCATGGAAATGGACAATCAGGGTCCGGTGCAGGGTAACCACATGCCCCTTGGTGTTGAGCACCAGGGATTATGCGGCCACATACCAGAAGCTGATATTCCAGTACTAAAAAATAAGACAAGACTAGAATAGCCACCGGACAAGATAAGACAAGACTAGAAGAACCCAGAACCGGAGCAGGACAGAAAGCAGAACCCAGAACATGTACACAATACATGAGGGAAACATGAACAGGACATGGGAATACAAGACAAAAATAAAACAAGACAAGAGATACAAGGCAAAACAAGAGGAGACATAGCTAGGTACTAT